ATAAGAGCCGGTGTCCTTAAATAAAGGTTTTTTAAATCCACCGCCGCTCCTTCACATGCCCAGACGCTCACGTGACACCACGGTAAGCGAAATAACTTGTTGTCAATCAGACCCGCACGATCACCTCCCAACGGTGTTAACGCGCTCCCGAGCGAGACAAGCAGCCTCCATCCAACGGCACTGTGTCGATGATGCACGCACAGCTGCCCGGCGCTCACCGGCCCACATCGGGATAAATGTGGGACCGCAGGCCGGGTCCGGTGGAGGTCCCTGCTCTCAGCGAAAACAACACACGCCTCTCCTGTATGAACGCGAGTGGCCGTCATCCACCGCGTCCCAGCGATCAGCAGCTCACGGCGGCATAAGCATGAGACAGCTGAATGAATCTAATGACGGGCCCCGCCCTCAGCGAGAGCGGCGCGCGTCCCTCCAGAGGAAACGTGCGCTCCCGCGAGGCTCACAACCTTCACTTCATCAGCTGACACACGCCTCGCCTCAGCACACAGCTACCGCCCCGCCCGGACATGAAGGTTGGTCCGCGATCCAGTCACAGCGCGCGGGCGCGCGCAGAACAGCCCTTTCGAGAAAGCCTCGCCTTGGGTCACGCGGAAAACATTTCCGCGACGCATGACGGCGGTCGAGGCGGAGGTTTGGATGACATCCGTTCAAAACACGGCACATCATTTAAACGCACGTCCACTCCACGAACGTCACGCAGAGTGGTTAAAAACATGCTCACCGGACAGATGGATGGACAGAGTGTTATGCAAGGGTTACACGCTGCAGTTTGCAACCCGACCCCCTCCGTTCGGAGGAGTTATAGAGACGGTCCTGTCATCACCAGACCAAGTCTCAGCCTTAAATGCAGAAGTCCAAGAGCTTCTGATAAAAGGTGTAATCTCAAGAGTTCCCAACGAGGAGGAAAACACAGGGTTTTACTCACGCTACTTCCTGGTCCCCAAAAGGACCGGAGGGATGAGACCGATCCTGGATCTGTCAGCTTTCAACAAAGCGATCATGAACAGATTTTTTCACATGTTGATGAACAGACAGCTGTTGGACAACATCCAGGAAAACGACTGGTTTGTTTCCATCGTTTTAAAAGATGCCTATTTTCACACACCAATCATCCCAAAACACAGAAAATTTCTGCGTTTCGCCTTTCAAGGGATGAAGTACCAGTACAACAGGTTGCCTTTTTTGGGTACTCCCTCGCGCCTCGTACGTTCTCAAAGTGTGTGGAGACAGCCCTGCATCCACTGCACAAGCAGGGATGAGAGTTTTGTTTTACCTGGACGACCTGCTGCCCCTGTCTCACTCCAGACAGGAAGCATTGATACAGGCTCAGGTGTTAGCATCACACCTGCTAAATCTGGGTTTCGCCATAACTGGAAGAAGAGCTCGATTTTCCCGGCCCAGATAATTGTTATCTGGGAGTGGAATTAAACTCAATTACCATGACGGCTCGTTTATCACAAACAAGAATCGACACTCTAAAAACCAATTACGCCACGTAAGACCTGGCAAAGTGGTAACAGCTGTCTCCGTCATGAAGCTGTTGGGAATGACGTCATCAGCTCACACAGTGGTCCCGCTGGGTTTGTTACACATGAGACGCCTCCAGAGGTGGTTTACGCGTCTGCGTGTGGATCCAGTAAAACAAAAGAGACGGATGATCACTGTCCCTCCCTCCATGGGAGCAGACCTCCGACACTGGGGAAACACCCTGGCTCTGTCAGAGGGAGTCCCCGTCAGCAGACCCACGTCACGTGTCAGTCTTCACGGACACGTCTCTGTCAGGTTGGGGGGGGGAACATGCCTATCTCAAGCAGTAGGGGCGCTGTGGCCCCACCGCACATCAGCCCACATCAATGTTTTGGAGTGTCGCACAGTGCTGAATGTGATTCAACATTTTGCTCCCGTGCTACAGAATCAACACGTGTTGATTCACACAGACAACATGGTGACTGCTGCGTACATAAACCGCCAGGGGGGTGTGCGTTCAGCCCAGATGTTACACATTGCGCGGAAGCTACTGAGTTGGGTTCATCAAACCTGCTTTTATTAGAGCGGTTTACATATCCGATGTTCTGAACAGAGGGGCTGATGTGACGTCCAAGGGCGGCCCACGTTATGTGGACCGGATCCTCCATCCGGATCTGATGTTTTTCAGACACAGCAGAAGTTGGCAAAGCAGCTGTGGACCTGTTTGCGACGCGAGAAGAACGCGCAATGTCAACTACGGTTTTTTCCCTGAGCCCGCGAGACGATCCATCGTTGGGGGGGGACGCATTTGCTCACAGTCGGTGGCCCAAAACGCTTTTTACGCGTTTCTTTTCCCTCACCTCCTCTGTTTTTTACGGTCCATGAACCGAGTTCAGGAGGAGGGATTGACAGCTCTCCTGGTGGCTCCCGGCGTGTGAACGCACTATGGTTCCCAGGCCTGCAACGTCTGTTGTGGGGTCGCCGTGGAACTGTCGTGGAGGAAGGATGCTCTCCTTCAGGCAGGAGGAGCGACCAAGAGTTACCCAGAAATAGGTCAACACCGGTGGGTTTGACCGCTGAGCGGTCCCACTTAGAGGATGGGTCTCCCTCAGGAGATAGTGTGCACAATTCAAGATTCACGTGCTGCATCTACCACAGTTCTGTACACATCAAGGGTACGGCTTTTCAGCGCTGGTGTACAGAGAAGGTTTAGAGACCACTTCATGCTTTTTAGGCAGCGTGTCGTTTTTCTACAACACCTGATGGATAGGGAGTTGGCTTTCAGTACGCTTTAACGTACGTTGCAGCCATCTCTTCCTGCCACAAAGGGTTTGGAGACAGAACAGCTTTTAATCACCCGCTGATGAAGCGGTTTCTAAAAGGTGTTCAGAGATGTAGGCCTGTTTCATGCCCACTTGTTCCACAGTGGGATTTAACGCTGGTCCTGCGAGCCCTGATCAAAGCTTCAATTGAGCCTCTGGATCAGTTTTCATTTAAATTCTTGTCTCTTTAAACAGTCCTGCTGCTGGCTTTAACACCCGCTAAGAGGGTAAGTAATTATCTGCCCTCTCTGTTGTTTCGTCATGCCTTAGAATTAGGCTGACGGGCAGCTCAGCTGTTTTAAGACCAACCCAGCTTTTATGCCTAAAACATCACGAGCTCTTTTAAATCAAGAGTGATGTCGTTGGAGGGGTCTTTCCCCCCCCACAGATCAGAAGGGGAAGCATCTGTTCATCTTCTCTGCCCGGTGCAGGCGTTGACGTGTTACGTAACGCGCACAGCTGCAATGCGTTCAAATTCAACAATTGTTTGTGCATTATAGAGATGCTTCTGCAGGTCGCCGTTATCCATCCAGCGCTTGTCACACTGGCTGTGTGAGGCCTTTTTCTGAAGCCTACAGAGCATCAGATTTAGGGCCTCCTGTCAACCTCTAAGCACACTCGACCAGGGGTATCGCATCTTCGACTGCTCTGCATAATGGTATGTCAATGCAGGACATTTGCACTGCGGCTGCATGGTCAACACCCTGCTCATTTATTCGCTTTTACCTACGTGATGTAACGGCTCGTTCCATGACACATTCTGTCCTTAGTGCTCTAACAGAATGAATATTATTGTTCTCATGGAACTCTGTTTAAGCTCACTACTGTCTGCATGCATTACAGTGTGAGATGTTGTTTTCAGTCACAGTCGTGTCTGTGATTTTGGTTCTATTGTCACTAATCAGTTCATGATTATTGTTAACAATCAGTTCATTTGATTATTGATCAATTCATGGACATTAATCTGTTTATACTGTTCAGCCATGAACCAGTTGGTTCATGCCCCCCCCCCCCTCTTTTCAACTTCTTCTTCATGTTGAAAGTTTTTCCGGGGTATTCATGTTTGTCAGAACGCATAGTTACACAACATGCGTCTGTACATGGCACATAATTACGCGATGCGTAGTTTATGCACACGGGGAGCTGAGTGACAAGACGTTTTTTGGGCAAGCTTCCGCTTCTTACTGTGTTCGAATGGACCCAGTGAGGCGAGGACCACATCCGCTTCGCCCTTAAACCATCAGCGACAGCCTTAAAGGGCGAAGCCTATATGAAATAGAACGTTGGTTACGTACTGTAACCCCAGATTCTATGAATATAGGCGTAGCCCTTTAAGCGTCGGGCCTCACTGGCTCCTAAATGGCTGAAGAAAAAGCTATTTTGGGAGCCGATTTCCCGCTCTTAACGTAATTTATACGGACCGGGTGGGGCCCACACAGCAGGTGGGCGTGGACTAATTTTTTTTTCAGTGCTTATGCTGCGCATAACGGGATAAACCATCAGCGACAGCCTTAAAGGGCTACGCCTATATTCATAGAATCTGGGGTTACAGTACGTAACCAACGTCTGTCTGTGCATACTGTAAGCATGATAACTTGAAAAATGAGTGAGTTACCGACTTCCATTTTGATGTTGCTAAATTTAGACGCAAGAAAGTTTGCTTTGAAAATTGGGTTGTTGCATCAAAATCCAAGATGGCTTCCACCATATATGTAAAGATGTTAACCTTGAGAGGTGGATAATCTGGAAAGTAAGCAACACGCCACTTTCCATTTTGGTGTGTTCCACGGAGGAATGGTAACTATCAAAAATTGAGCTGTCAAGTCAAATTCCAAGATGGCCACCACCACACTCATTTGATTAAACTATGCTTTCTAGTTTTTATAATGCTTAAAATATAGTCTCCTCAAATGACTGGGGTGGCCGAAGATTAATTTATAGTGGCCAAGGCCCCCACTGGCCACTCCCTGGCTCCGTCATCGCACCTGGAAAAACTACAAACAAATAAATAAATAAACAAATAATTGGATGGATGGATGGATGGATGGATGGATGGATGGATGGATGGATGGCTTTCCTTTGGTAAAGTTATCAATGTTTTAAAGTGTATAAATGTATTCTGTTTTATTCTCACTTCTTATAAAAGTCTTTTTCTTTATTAGATGCTCAAGTTTTTTTGAAACTTCGTCTCAGGTTTCCAAGGATCAACAAGGAGTCTTTGCTGCCCGTTGCCACAAGTATGGGGATGAGCGGTGAGAACGAAGAGGCCTGGTACCCCCCGGGTCACGGGGACATTTATGCCAGCTTCTACAACTCGGGGCTGCTGGACAAACTCCTCTCTGAGGGACGAGAGTACATCTTCGTGTCCAACATCGACAACCTGGGTGCCACCGTCGACCTGTTCATCCTCCACCACCTGATGAGTCAGCCGGCCGACAGGCGCTGCGAGTTCATCATGGAGGTCACAGACAAGACCAGAGCTGACGTGAAGGTGAGTCCTACCGCTGAGATGTGGTCTTCTTTAGGTGGGAGGGGCTTCTGCTGGACTGCTTTCAGCACCGCCGCCTTCTTCCTGCCTGCAGGGTGGAACTCTGATCCAGTACGAGGACCATCTGAGGCTGCTGGAGATCGCTCAGGTCCCCAAGGCCCACGTTGACGAGTTCAAGTCTGTCACCAAATTCAAAATCTTCAACACCAACAACCTGTGGATCTCTCTTCCCGCCATCAAGAGGCTGCAGGAGCAGAACTGCATGGACATGGAGATCATTGTCAACCCAAAGGTGAAAGACTTCACATCAGGAAGCCTTTTAGGAACAAAGGTCTCCTGTTGATTATTATACATGTTTTATTCTAATCAGTTAATACCTCGACCCAGAGCCTTCAGAAAAGTTTTTTAGAAACGGAACAATCAAATGATAATTTGTTTTAAGACTCCTTAAATAATGACCATAGAGGGTTTTTTTGTTGAGTCTGTGTGAACTTTGAATATTTGGACCCCCCGCAGACCCTGGATGGTGGTCTGAATGTCATCCAGTTGGAGACGGCTGTGGGCGCTGCCATCAAGAGCTTCAAGAACGCCATGGGGGTGAACGTACCGCGCAGCCGCTTCCTGCCGGTGAAGACGTCGTCTGACCTGCTGCTGGTGATGTCCAACCTGTACAGCCTGGACGCCGGCTCGCTCACCATGAGCAAGAAGAGGGAGTTCCCCACGACGCCACATGTCAAGCTGGGCAGCTCCTTCACAAAGGTCTGGAACCTTCAAAACCTTAGCTGCTCACCAAGACCCCTCTGAGTCATGATCAGTCAGCATCATGTGGTGTGCCTCATACATAAGACACATACTAAAACAGATGGTTTTAGGACCAGTTTACTTTACTCAGGTATTTTTGTCCTGTTTATATATTTCGCTTCATCAGCACGTCCTAACAAAAATGCTGTAATACCAGCGCCGGACCACTAGGTGGCAAAGTATCGTTAAAAACTGCTTCAGCGTTGTGTCCTCTGGACAGATTCTTGTTGAAACGTTTCGTCCTTTATCTAAAAGAGCTACAACAAACTCAGTCTTATAAGCAGCACCTTCTCATAGTGGATCAACCAGTTTGTTGTTGACAGCCAAAATTAGCTGGTCACATGCTAATGGAGGACCATCAGCCCAACGACAGACTATTAGTGCTATGATGGCCTTCACAGAGGGCTGAGTGATGCAGCAGCATCAATCTGCAGCATTATTGAGCAGCATCAGGATGCTTCAGTGTTTTGGTTTCTCAAAGTGTGCGTCCACAGAACAGGCTGTTACACTGTCATGTCTGAAAAACTCTGTTTTACACCTTCACAGAGGCACCACACCCTAAGTGGCAGGACTGGCAAATCTATGCAGAAAAACTGCAACTTATACACAAATACAGTACACCAGAAGAACAAACTTGTCTAAGCTCTGTATTTTCATGATGTCCTGTTTACTGAAGATCCAGCTGGTTGGAGCATCCTGTCATGTCGTTCCTCCTGCAGCAGATAACCAAGATGGGATGTTAACGGAGAGGCTCAGCTGAGAGGATTCTGCCATCTCATTCTTTTATTATACATTTTGTTTTGCAGGTCCAGGACTTTCTGAGAAGGTTTGAAAACATCCCTGACATGTTGGAGTTGGACCATCTCACCGTATCAGGAGACGTGACCTTCGGAAAGAACGTCTCTCTGAAAGTAAACGACTTTTAAAGATGCAGAAAATTATTTTTTTTAAGGAAACTCTACGCCTCATTTTGTTAAATGAAGACTTCCTTACTGAAGTGAAACTAACGTCACACAGATGGTTGCTGCCATCTTGTGCTCGTCAACAGTAAGTCCAGTCTAACTGATAGAAATGGGACCAACTTATAAACGTGTAGTTTAAAACTGTAAAACTCAGAATAAATTAAAGCATCTTATTTTACAGTTTGGTCTCGCCATGCAAGTCTTAGTGTACTGTAACACATTTTTACTCCTGTGCAGTCACTGAACAGCAAACAGAGTCCTAGAGCGGAACAAAAAGTGCACCTGAAAAGGAAGAAGCGGGTTAAAGATATGGATGGATGGATGGATGGATGGATGGATGGATGGATGCATGGATGGATTAACAGAGTATAATTTTAAAAAAAAGCACCAAATGTAGCACAGACTGGCTTAATGAGACAAAACAAACCATCCATCAACTTTTACCCACTTCTTCCTTTTTGGATCTTGGGGGTCACTGGTGTTCATGTCCAGCCATCACTGTGGGAGAGGTGGGGGACACCCTGGACAGGTCTCCAGTCCATCACAGGGACACATAGAGACAACCAACCATTCACTCTCTCACACCTAGGGACAATTTAGAGTTACCAATCAGTCTAACATGCATGTTTTTAGTCTGTGGGAAGAAGCTGAAGTACCCGGAGAAAACCCACGCAGCACAGAGAGAACATGCAAACTTCACCCAGAAAGGTCCCTGGCTGGGATTTGAACTGGCAACCTTCTTGCTGAGAGGCAACAGCTCAACCAACAGAGCCACCATGCTATCCAGAAGACCAAACATACTGGATTATTTATTACGAACATGGATTAAAACAGAAACTTTTTAATGCATCAGGAGTGTTATTTCTGTGACCAGAGCAACAACAAACCAGTTATCCTTTAAAATACCAGTTTACAATAAAGTTTTCTCCTTCCACCAGGGAACTGTCATCATCATCGCAAATCACGGTGACAGGATTGACATTCCAGCTGGAGCGATGCTGGAGAACAAGATCGTGTCCGGAAACCTGAGGATCCTCGACCACTGAGGGTCGCTGGAGAAGAATGATGAAGACCAGACTCGTCCTCTTCGGTTCTCCAGCCAGCGCTCTGTTACTGTGTGACGAGTGTTTCAAACAGGAAGTGTCAATGTTAAGGTCAAGGGTCAGATTGATCCCGACTCACTCTGCAGGTCCTCATGAAGGAACATGCCGTTACTGCAGATCCACACTCAGACTTTCAATAAAACTGCAACATGGCTCAGATCTGTGGTTTATTCAGGAAGCTTTACTTTTAGTCTGTGCACGCTTGTGTTAGCACAATATTTCGTAAACCACTGGAAAGATTTAATGAAATAAAAACATACCTCTACCAGTCCTTCATTTTTGGAGTCAACCCAACTCAAGATGGCCACAGTCAGTGGATATTAGCCGGTACATGCGTCTATAACTCAGTTACAGACATGAAGCTGTGATGTGGAGTGGTGGTAGTTGAGTCATCCTTAACATGCTCCAAGCTTCAACAGATTATACAACACTATCTGTTAAAATATTGTTCTGCAAAGTCCATTTTCTGATTAACTATTTTAATTTATCAAGCTGATTTTTTTTTCCTGGACTAATTAACGATTTAAAAACTATTCGAGCCAAAAATAAAAGCACAAATGATGTTTTACGTCTTATGCTGATATCAATTCTGTCATCCAGGAAATGGCAAATCCCCCTCAAAAATTAAATAAAACAATTTTTTTCTAAAGTTATTTTGAAAAAAGACCCCGGAGCAGACCCAGAACTCTCAGGAGGGACCGTGTGGCCTCTCTGGTCTTGGAGCACAAAGTCCGACATGTTGGGACACCTGGACTCAAACTAAGATGAAAGTTTTTCAGCTGCTCTGATTCATAACCTCCACTCTGATTATGTCATTACATTTAGGAAGTACTAAGTATTTGCTCACTTAGTGAGTACTGTAGTTTTTCTAGATGGGAAAACATAAAAGCTACAGAATTATCTGCTTTTTGTTGAAACAATAAAAACATTAACTGCAGGACAAAATGTTGCTTCATAATCCCATTTTATTCACAGCAGCTTGAAAGAACTGAACATCTACTGGACTCTGACGCATGCTGCAGGACTCTCTCACACACACTCTGACACACACACTCTCACTCACACGCACACACACACACACTCACACACACACACTGCGTTGCAGAGCTGACGGGTCGTTTCTGACAGCAGATCAAAAGGAGGCACTTCTGAAGCAGACACTGACAGTTTCTGAGTGTTGGACAGGAAACGGCTGTGCTCGATAAAATTCTAGTTTTCCGACTTCAAAATGTGACTGACTGCACGTGCACGCGCACGCACGCACCATCAGAGTTCACAATAATCTTGAACCTATTCAACAGCTTCATCGTCCCACTACAGAAACAACAAAAACGAGCACCTTGAGTTCTGATCAGGGAACCTCTGGTTCCAGTCATCCAGTTTATTGGGGAGTTAAACTACGACAGCTTATGGGCTGTGGACCAGTAGCTCGGTGGTCAGTGCTGTGGTCTTGCAATCTTGAGGCTGCGGGCTCAAGCCCAGGTTGCACCAGGAAGGGTATCCGGCGTAAAACAATAGTCAACTCGCTCGCCGTGTCCCCTGAAGAAGCAACCAAAGCCTGATGTGTTCCAGCTGCTGCACAGACGACACATTTATCTGAAGTCAGAGCAGGAACGAGTGTTCGACGACAACAGAACGTAGAAACTGCAGTCCGGTTTAGAAAAAGCTCGTGTTTGATTTAAAGAACTGCATGCGAGCCGACCGAAGGAGAAAAAGATGCACGAGAAAAAAATCATTTTCTGTTTGATCTGAATTCTTCACATCAACTAAAATTACTTCATGATCTGTAAACAGCTGCACTGGTTCTCACTCGATTCATCGCTGCGCTTTAACCCTTTAACTGCTGGGGATTCTGGGAAACTGACGGCTCTTCACAGCCGCCAGCTTCACCACGTCAGAGATGTAAGGAGGAAAGAAAATTATATTTTTCTCTTTCACTCTCAAACAAAAATATTCTTGAGCTACGGAACACGATGAAGAATAGTGAACAGCTGCTCCTGGTGCTCCACGTCGCCTAACAAAACAAAAACAACTGATCATCCCTAAAGAAGACGGCAAGATGCATGATTGGTTGAAGAGCACGTCAGAAAGTTGACCTTTGGTAGCAACAGGATGAGGTTTGTGATGCGTTCACAGTCCAGAGGTTTAAATTCTTCAGGACCAAGGTTCCTTCAACACAAGTCCTGGAAACGTATGGAGAATATAAAAATAGAGGGAAACCCCTTCATCTTCATCACCTTCATCACAGCCCGCTGGAGACAAAGTCCACCAAAGTCACAATGTTCCCAAAAGGACAGAAAAATAAATTACCCCACCACCATCATCATCATCCACAGCCTCCTTGAAAAGTCTCCAGTAATTTATTGTATTTCGTTGCACAGTGAGGGGAGGCGGCTGCAGGTTTAAGGAGGTTTCCCTGTTTCCTGATCAAGTCTTCCACGCTGTGGAAGTTCAGCTTGCTGCTGCTGATCTTCACCCAGTTCAGTGGTTTGGGGCGTCTTGTGCCCTCCTCAGGTGGCTGCTGATAGTCAAGGTCGCCCCCGGTCAGTCTACGGGTTTGTTCCGGATGTCAAGACTCCGCCCCCTTCATCACCTCTTCTGCTCCCAGATTTCCACCATGCTCAGGTCAAGTCGTTCGAGGCTCCTCAGTGCTTGGATGTTCTCCGTGTAGAAGGCCACGTCCACCACCACCAGCCTGCAGACAGCAAGTTACAACGTTTATGTATCAGAGTCAGAGATTCTTTATTGTTGGTCCACAGGGTCCCAGTTACATCCAACAATAAAAATGTAAAAGAAAAACAATGATAACATCTAAGATACGAACTAAGAAAAACATCAACTAAATATACACTAAGCACTAATGAGCATAAAAACATTACGTCGAACAGCAGCATGAACATGAGTCTGTGAGCAGATGAGCACGCATGAACACATCAACATGAAACAGATCAGCAGCAGCATGAAACAGATCAGCAGCAACATGATGTGATTTTTTTTTTCACTGATTATTCTAGTTAGAGATTCATGAGTCTAACAGCCTCAGGGTAGAAGCTGTTCCTCAGTCTAGTGGTTCTACACTTAATGCTCCTCAACCTCCTTCCTGAGAGGAGTGGGGCAAAAAGTGTGTGTGCTGGGTGAGTGGGGTCCTTCATGATGCAGGTGGCCCTCTTCCTGCATCTGGAGGTGTAGATGTCTGTGATGGTGGGGAGACTGACGGATCTGTGGTGGAAGTGGTCTCCAGCTACAAGTACTTGGGTGTACACATGAATGACAACCTCAGCTGGAGCAACAACACCACCAGCCTGATCAAGAAAGCTCATCAGAGACTCTACTTCCTCAGGTGGCTGAGAAGAGCTGGTCTGGAAGCTCAGTCCTCACCTCCTTCTACAGGTGTGCAGTGGAGAGCATCCTGTGCTCCAGCATCAACATGTGGCATGGAGGCTGCACAGCTGCAGAAAGAAAAGCTTTGCAGAGAGTGGTGAAGGCTGCACAGAAATCTGTTGGAATCAGTCTCCCCACCATCACAGACATCTACACCTCCAGATGCAGGAAGAGGGCCACCTGCATCATGAAGGACCCCACTCACCCAGCACACACACTTTTTGCCCCACTCCCCTCAGGAAGGAGGTTGAGGAGCATTAAGTGTAGAACCACTAGACTGAGGAACAGCTTCTACCCTGAGGCTGTTAGACTCATGAATCTCTAACCAGAATAATCACTGTGAAAAATCACATCATGTTGCTGCTGATCTGTTTCATGTTGCTGCTGATCTGTTTCAATGTTGATGTGTTCATACGTGCTCATCTGCTCACAGACTCATGTTCATGTTTGTGCTGATGTTCAATGTTTTATGTTATGAGTGCTTAGTGTATATTTAGTTGATGTTTTTCTTGGTTCATATCTTAGATGTTATTACTGTTTTTCTTATACATTTTATTGTTGGATGTAACTGGGACCCCGTCTACATAATTTCACTCCACCACATGAGGTGCGAATGACAATAAAGAAACTCTGACTCTGATTAATAACTCTGTTCCTGTATCAAATAAGCACGAGATCCTGAACTGTCTCAACAAACATTTTGTTGCTTCTGGTTCTTTATTTGACACAGTTACTAACAGAAAATCAGCCACTTCACTTAATAACCAAACTTCTACAAATCAAATCCCTCCTACAAGTCAATCCTCAGTTAATCACAGCTTCTCTTTTTCTCCATTCTCAGTCAGTGAGGTCAATAAACTGTTAAAATATCTTGACCCTAAAAAATCTGCAGGTCCAGATGAACTTCCACCTTATTTCTTAAGGCTGGCTGCTCATATCATCACAGTCCCTGTGACCCACATCTTCAATCTCTCCATAAGACAAAACTCCATCCAGACACTTGGAAAACAGCCTTTGTTTTTCCTTTGCTGAAGGGAGGAGACACCCCCCCCCCTCACTGAACAACTATCGACCAATCTCTAAACTCTGCATTTTAGCCAAGGTTCTAGAAAAACTGATAAACTCTCAAATCAAAAATTACCTGGACTCATTTAACATCTTACCTCCACATCAATCTGGTTTCAGGAAACAACACAGCACAACCACTGCTTCACTGAAGGTTCTTAATGACGTTGTTGAAGCACTGGATGCTAAAGATTATTGTGCTGCACTTTTCTTAGACCTGTCTAAAGATTCTGACACTGTGGATCAAAACATCTTGTGTCATAAACTCTCAGAAAACTCTCAGACTACTGCAACTCCCTTCTTTATGGCCTCCCCAACAAATCTCTCCAGAAGCTGCAATTGGTCCAGAACTCAGCTGCCCGTGTCATCACTCAAACCTCCTCCTACAACCACATCACTCCAGTCCTGCAGCAGCTCCACTGGCTCCCGGTTAAATCACGCATCGTCTTCAAAATTCTTCTTCTCACTTTCAAAGCTATCCACAACCTTTCCCCTCCGTACCTATCTGACCTCCTACACATCTCCATCCCCTCTCGCTCTCTCAGATCCTCCTCTTCACTACACCTCCATGTACCCTCTGCCCGCCTCTCCACCATGGGGAGCAGGGCCTTCACCTGCTCTGCCCCTCATCTCTAGAACTCTCTGCCCCCTGACTTAAGAAACACCACCTCTCTTTCTCTATTCAAGACTGCTCTGAAAACACATCTCTTTAGACTCGCTTATCCTTAACTTTGCTGTATGTATTTTATATTCTTTATGTATTTTATATTATGTATGTATTTTATATTCTTTATATATTCTATATTCTTTATATATTTTATATTATTTATTCCTGTTGATCTTTGTTCTTAATGTAAAGTGTCCTTGGGTGTCATGAAAGGCGCTTTTTAAATAAAATGATGATTATTATTATTATTATAGAAATTGGTTTCTGAGATCACACCATTAGTTGGTTCTCTATCTCTCAGACCGGAGGCAATGTGTTCAACATAATGGTACTTCCTCCCATTATTTAACAGTCAACAATGGTGTACCACAAGGATCAGTCTTAGGTCGCACACTCATCACAATGGTAATGTAGGTCAAAGCATCCTTGACACATCCTTACATTTCTATATTGATGACACAGTTGTTTGTTGTTGAGCTAAAACAGTTGCTAAGGCTCTCCAGCTTTTCCAATCCGCTTTTGACATCATCCAGTCAGATTTGCTCTGCCTCAAATTTGTCTTAAATGCCAATAAAACCAAAGGGATGCTTTTTTTCAAACAGGAAGTTGGACCCAGCAGTTCTTTCTTCGATTTCATCCTCAAATGGTGTCCCTATCGAGTTTGTCGATTCCTACAAATATTTGAGTATCTTGGTCGATTCGCATCTCTCTTTGAAGCTCCATGTGGAAAACTTGGTAAAGAAACTGAAAGTTAAACTGGGTTTCTTTTTCAGAAACAGATCCTGTCTAACTCTGAATGCTAGGAAACGCCTTGTATCTGTGACTTTCCTTCCCTCCATTGATTACGGTGACATTATTTACATGAACGCTCCTACAAGAACCCTGCTGTCTATAATGGTGCACAAAAATTCATAACTGGCTGTAACTACCGTACCCACCACTGCACTGCATTCACTGGTTAACTGGTCATATTAACTTAACACAGACTCTCTCACTGGTACATTTTCATCTTTAAATCACTTCTTGGTCTGCTGCCTTCATACATCTCCTCCTACATGTCTCTGCGTGAGTGCAGCTACAGCGTGCGCTCTCAGGACATTATTACCTGCAGTGTTCCCTCAGTGAGGACTGAACTTGGCAAAAGGGCCTTCTCCTACTCTGCTCCTGTTTCCTGGAATACCTTGCAAAAAGATCTGAATTTCTTGACCTTGACCTCTCTAAGTGGCTTCAAACATCTGCTAAGTTCATGGCAAAAACTAACACAAACATATTCCTGTATTTAGTATTTTATATTGCTTAATAATTTAGCTGTTTTTTTTGTTTATATAATTTTCTTCCATCTTTTTTTCAATTTATATGCCTTCTTTTAAGATTGTCTACTGTTGTCATCTGTGTTCTTTGTTTAAATCGGGTCTCTCTTGTAAATGAGTTCTCGAGGCTCAATGAGACTAACCTGTAGAAATAAAGGATGAATGAAAACCAAAGCACCAAGCTGGAAAGACATCAGCAATGACCTTAGAGAATCAACAGCTGCTGCTCCTCATTGTTTCAACTATTTGGAGTTAATCATTCTGCAGTGATAAAGATTATTCATGTTTAGGACAGCTGTCAATCTTCCCAGGAGTAGATGTCTCAGCAAATTCACTCTAAGGTCAGACTGTGCACTTCTCAAGAGAAATGAGCTCCACCTCAGACTCTATAGGCCTCAGTTAGCAGGGTAAAGGTCAAAGTTCATGACAGGACAATTACAAACAGACTAAAGTATTTTGTTTTCTTTTTTTGGGGGGGTGGGGGGGGTGGGTGTTGAGTGTTTTTATTCTAAAACAAAACAAACATGGCGGCACAGCTCAGGTTTATGAATTTTTGTCTGAATGAACTGAGACTTTTAAAATAAAGTCCTTGGAAAATATGAGACCAAAGTAGAGATGTTTACCCATAATGCACAGCACCGTTAGACAAAAACCAAACATAGCGTATGAGCACAAACACCTCACACTGCACTGTGGTTAAGTGGCTGAAGGTTTGAACTCCTCTGTAGACCAAAGAACTCTAGATAAATGTGAGGCCATCTATCTGACAGCTAATCTACAACAGAACAAATAAAAAAAAAATTTAAAAAACCCGACTAAAATCAAGGTGCTGCAGTGGTCCAGGTAAGGTCCAGAACCTGAATGTTGTGGTGGGACCTTCAGAGAGCTGAGCAGAAACCAGTGTGTGAAAACTTTCATTAATTGTTGGAAAGATGAGTGAGCGAACATCATTTAGCTCCTGGAATTCACCCCTGGAAGTGCATTCTTCAGGCACAAACGGGCCCCTTCTTCCTTTTCTGTCCCTCCATCGGAAGAGAACCTGAGGGAGTTGCATGGTTGCTGGCGGGACCCAAAAGTCTTTGCGTACCTCTCTGCGGATGGCGGAGTGTTGGCGGCTATGCATAAGCCAGCTGCAGTGGGCTTGGAACGCATGCCAGTGATCAAACCTGCTGTTGCCTCACTCATCATGTCACCAGAGGAAGTTCTGCGCAGTGATGTTTGGTGCCTGTCCAGGCACAACAGACAAGGCAGCAGTTTTCAGGCCTTAGCAGGGCTATGCCCCATCCACATCCTCGGCATCCAAGACGACCCGTCAGCTGATCCCAGCATTCGGTTGCCGCCTCAGGGTCATGATCGGCTGAGTGGTTTGTTACCCTTGTGCGGTTCAGCAGAGACCAGACAGGAGCTTTCGTGAGTCGGTCCACCAACCAGCTGGTCAAGTTTGGACCGGGGACTCTGGCCACCCCCCCAGACTAGATGGAGTTTATGGGGTTAGTCATGTCAGCGTGGAGTCTACGGCGGGAGCCACGGTGAATGTATCTCCGGCGAGGATGGAAGGCAATGTCCTGAAGAGGGAGCAAAGGCGGCACGGCCGGTAGGAAACAAAGGCGAAGGAGCTCGACCGCTGATTAATGGAGAAGGCCAGACGCCAGGTGGTGGTGGTGGATGAGCAGCTGGAGAGTCCAAACCAGAGTAGGCAGCAGGTAAATCCTAATGAACCGCATGGCTGATATTGAGACGGATCAGAGACTTGGTGTAGTGGAAAAGGCAGGAAGGATTGAATAAAACAGAAACAAGAAAAAAGCAAAAAAGCACAACGAGCAGCGGCAGCCAGGATGCGGCAGCGTTCGCTCGCCGGAAGAAGATGACTATAATCGCCGACCCAGTGAAAGCTTGAGCACTAGACCAGGAGTTTTCGCCCTCCTGACCAAGGGTGCAATTGAGGCAGTGGACCCTCTGCAACAACCCAGAGACTATTACTCGACTTACTTCCTCGTGCAAAGAGGACGGTGGGTTTTGTCCCATTTTAGATCTGAGGGGACTCAACCAGTACCTAAGGGTACTGCCCTCCCACATGCTCATGACAGCAGAGGTCCTTCAAGCTGCCACGAGGGGAGAATGGTTCATGTCTATAGACCTGAAAGATGCTTATTCTCATGTGCCTATTGCGGCAGAACATCGCCGCTTTCTCAGGTTTGCGTATCGGGGTCATCACTGGCAGTTCCAGGTACTCCCATTTGTGCTCTCTCTTTCCCCGAGGGTGTTCACTTGGTGCGTGAAGGCAGCCCTCTCTCCTCTGCAGGCCTACGGAGTACTAAACGATTGGCTTCTCTGCGCCTTGTCTCGGGCCTGTGCCTTTCGCGACACGAATCACCTGCTCGCTCATGTGTCTCAGTTGGGCCTTGATGTCAACCTGGAGAAGAGCTTCCCAGACGATCACCTTTCTTGGGTGGTTCTGGATTCACCCTCCATGAGAGCTCGCCCATCCGCTCAGAGGGTGGGCGGCATACTCCATTTGGTCAGTCGTTCAGGCTGGGCAGGCAGCCGGGCAGGCACCCTACGTTGCCTTCTAGCAGCTACTTGGCACAACTGACGACAGTCACTCGGGTGGAGCCCTTAGGCCCGCTGTCAATTTGTCCCTTGCAGAGGTGGCTCAACAGCTTTCGCCTGGATGCCAGGCTGCACAGGCATCACAAGCTTGCAGTGACATGGTCATGTCTTCATGCCCTGACTCAATGGAGGGACGAAGATTATTTGTCCAGGGGTGTCCCCATGGGAGTGGTAGTGTGTCGCAGGTAAGCGGTCACGACAGATGCCAGCTCCATGGGATGGGGCGCTGTGCGACAACGCAGAGCAGTTCAGTGCCAAAGGGGTCAAAGGACCGCTCCAACCATATAAAGGTGCTGGAGCTTCATGCAGTGCATTTGGCACTCAGGTACTTCCTGCCCCACCTAGAAGGGGGGCATGTTCTCATTCGGTCAGATAATACCTCTGTTGTCTACCACATCAACCACCAGGGGGGCACCAGGTCAGCACAACTGCTGAGAGTGTCCAGAGAGCCCTTGGAATGGGTCTCTCCTCGCCTGTCCACCCTGCGGGCGTACTTACCAGGGCGACACAGTCAGGTCGCAGACTTTTCTGACGCCAGGGGTCTTCTCTGGGAGAGTGGTCCCTCCACAGCGACATAGTGCTGATGATCTGGGACCGTTTTGGTCAGGCAGAGGTAAACCTGTTTGCGACAGAGGAGTCGACTCAGTGTCCCCTATGGTACTCCCCTACCGGGGTGTCGGGTGCGCTGGGCCAGGATGCATGTGCCCATCCTTGGCCAAGGGTCCTCCTATATGCCTTTCCATTCCTTTCTCTAATTTGGCCGACCCATCAGGGAGTCCTCGAAGAGGGCCACAGGATGATACTGGTGGCTCCGTATTGGCCAGCATGACCAGGGTTCCCACTAGGAATGTGCGATATAAACGGTATACGGTAGAAATGATAGAAATTTAGCCTACGATATCGATCTGTCTTCTACTGGCTAACCACAGTAATGCTGTCTGAAGTAAAATCAGATTTGTCAGTTTAATCGTTACTTTTTTTAGTTGAAAACTGTGCGTAAGTGGTGTTCAAGTGTAAAATCAGAGCTGTCAGATTTAATCTTTACTTTTTTTTGTTGAAAACTGTGCGCAAGTGGCGTTAAAGTATTTTCTTCAAGGGCTAAGTAGCGAAGCTACAAGCTAACTACGTCCGGCTTGCCATAGTGTTGCCGTATTCGGACGCATGCGCAAAACGCTGTGTTCCATCGAAAGTTTTTTTTTCCCATCAAAAATTAAAGTAAGTGTTGGTCAGCTTTAGAGAAACCTGCTCTCTGGTGGTCATCTGGGATTCATAGAACCGTAGTTACATAGTAACTTTCGTTTTCATTAGTTGTCAGTTATAATCATCAACATTAAAAGAAATAAACATTTGAAATATATCAGTCTGTGTGTAATGAATGAATATAATATACCAGTTTCACTTTTTGAATGAAATTAATGAAATAAATCAACTTTTTCATGATATTCTAATTTTATGACCAGCACCTGTACATGCATTCTTTTACTACAGCTTCTCCAACGTGCCTTTGTTTTAGTTTAATAGCAAAGTAGAATCTGTTGCATGTTTCTAAAGACTTTTATTTCAATCTTCACTCTGACAGAACTGTGAGATAATAGATTGTAAAAGCCCTCAAAGTGTTTATGTGCGCTTGTGCTCACCCGTGCTGCGGTCCTCCATCATTAATGACACCAAGTCTTGCCAGCTGTCTCTTGAGGTGCATTTTAAAGCTGGCGTTAATCTTCAGAAACAGCACCTGTGCAGAAAAACACCTTCATTAAAGCACAGCCGTGGCCATGTTTGAAAGAATGGCTCGCAGAGTCCAAAGTAAAGCACAAGCACAGACTCTGAACGTTGAGACTCACCTGGGTCTGCTCTTCAGGCAGAAGTTCAAAAATAGCTTCGTGCATCTTTGCAATCTGCTTACAGACGTTTCTGAAGCAGGCCGACGGCATCGGAGCCTTTACTTCATACTGAAGGAAAACGCATCACGGTTAAATCAAACGACTGGCGGAGTCACCCAGCACACCTTAAAGCTTTACAGACCTTTGATAAAACCTTCTCAAACAGACCGTCCATGATGGCCACCAGCTTAGCAGAGATCTCTGCGATGTGATCGTTGTAGTCCTGAAAAACAAACAGCCTGAGCCACAACACCCCAACATGCCGAGCCTTCAGGGACCACGTTCTAACACTGCAGGCGTTACCTTCAGGATGTGGTCGAAGTGTCGGAGAACGCTGAACTGTTTGTGCTGCAGTTTGGTCTCAAAGTGAGTCCTGATGATGGGGATGTAGTGAACCACCAGCTGCAGACAACGGGAGGCTAATGCTACAAAAACACATCCAGAGTCCGAGTGGTTCAGGTTTGTGCACAGTGAGGCGCAAGTAACTAAACAACAGTTACGTGCAGGTTCTGGTGCACGTACCCAGGTTTTTTGTAGTGATAGTTTTGAGGCCGACGACCTGCAGAGCTCCAGCTCCTAGAACCAACTGGCAGCTGCGAGAGTTGAAGTGCTGCATAAACAAACAATAAAACTAATTATTCACCAACGTAGGAGGCAAACACGGTGTCTGTCAGCAGATTGTAATATTACAGATAGAGAGGTACAAATCAGGATTCATTATGTTTAGTCACAGAAGACAGTGTGTTTGCAAAACCGAGTCTTGGTGTTCGACCCCCCGGCATGCCCACATGTCATGGTGTCCCTGAGAAGGGCACCCAATCCCCAACTGCTCCCCGGGTGCTTACATAGCTGCCCACTGCTCCACCTGGGTGTATCTCAGGTGTGATGGGTTCAATGCAGACAACTGATTTCATCATTGTATGTTTTCATACAACGCACAGAACTTTAATACAGAAAGAAAAAGCCGGGGTTTCAACTAGAGATGCACCGATCCAATACCAATATCGGTCCCAATATCGAAAAAACTTCTGGATTGGGTATCGTGACAATGTGACCAATCCAAGACTGGGCAGATCTATTCACTCTAATTCTATGCTTTGTGCTCTGAGCGACGTCACGCGCTAGTGAACTCACCGCACTGATTGTTTTCAAAATGGAGCGAGCGAAAGGATCAGCCATCTGACAAAGTCCATGCTCAAAAATCCAGGTATACAATCCAACAATTTTCAGTCAGGTCATCTGGACATTTTCTTTTTTTTTTTTTTTTACTAAAACGTTTCACCTTTGATCCAGAAGGCTTCATCAGTCAAGGAAACACACAACACAAAACTGATTCTTCCCCCAACAGCTTACTCCAAAGTGGAACAAGCCAGTTATGTTGGTGCTAAGATGTTGTCTTTGACACGCCCCCTCCTCCGGTGCCAGCTCTCTTTCTTGTCGACAGTCATGTCAAACTGGTTCAAAACCAACAAAGTCCATGCTCAATAATCCAGGTATACAATCCAACAATTTTCAGTCAGGTCATCTGGACAGTTTATTTTTTTTCGCAAAGCACATAGACTGCCCCAACCCACAGATTGTTCCAGCCGACATAGATTGTCACAGAATGACCATTATCACACTTGACAATGTTCAGTTTCATGACAACGCAGTCAAGTCTTATGAAGTGTACAGGGAAATAATATAGTATCATACATAAACATTTCAATGCACCATGAATCAGATCAATAAATAATATACTTCCTTCGCAGGAGATTTCTTACTTTAAGGAGGTCTGACAGACGTGTCAGCATGTCAGTGGCGATGGATGGGATGTCGTTTACACACTGACAATATTCCAAAAAAATACGAATCAGCAGCAGCACAGTCCTGAAGAAACAAAAGAAAAACTTTAAAAATACTAAACAAGGTTTCTTGTCTTCACAAACGTTAAGAAATCAGCAGTTTCCTGATGCATGCTCAATAATCCAGGTAGAAAAATCTAAAAAAGTTAAATCTGGTCCTCTGGACATTAAAAAAACAAAACAAAAAATATTGTAGAAACATTTTGTCTTTCATCCAAAAGACTTCCTCAGTCTGAGGTGCTGTATTCAGCTCAGTCTTATAAATAGCGCCCTCTTGCAGTGGATCAACCAGTTTGTGGCTGACAGCTAGAACCAGCTGCTCACATGATCAATGAGGACCATCAGCCTAACAATGAATCATTAGCACACTGATGGCTGTTTACTATTCACAGAGGGTTGAGTGATACTAGCAATCACAGCATTGTAAGAGGGGGACAGTTGAACCCGGAGGCCTCCACCTCTGTTTAATGATGGACGGTTTCTTTTCACAAAGATGGCCTCCTTTACTCCTCTCTCAAACCATCGTTCCTCTCTGTCCAGGATGTGAACATCTTCATCCCTGAAAGAGTGACCGCTGGCCTGGAGATGAGTGTAGACCGCAGAGTCCTGGCCTGATGATGTTGATCTTCTGTGCTGGTCCATCCTTTTGGCCAGTGGCTGTTTAGTTTCCCCGATGTAAGACTGATCACAGCCCTCCTGACACTGAACAGCATACACAACATTACTCTGTTTGTGCCGGGGGACTGGATCTTTGGGATGAACCAGTCTTTACTGTATTTTGGGGTTTAAAAGGACCAGATTTAACTTTTTTAAATCAGCAGTTTCATTTGTCCCTGGGGACAGACACCTACCCAACAACTGCATATTTCTGTCCATCAACGAGAAGACACTCTGCAGGTTTTCTGTCATCTGGACCTGCACAATCAAACATGTTAGAGCTCAGATCTTCAAAAATACAGTACAGCTGAATACAGTTATAAGACTTCATTGTAATCAACATTAAAGTGATGCACTATGCATTTACATTATTAGTGTTCAGCATACCGTTTGGTGTTCATTTAGCTTATATCTTAGTTTACTGGTATATCTCCGATCCATATTTACTGTTGCTTTTTACACTTTATATTTTTGCTATTGTTGGATGTAACTGGGACCCTGTGTACATTATTTCGTTCCACCTCATGGTGAAATGCCAATAAACCTACTTGAACTTGAACTTAAATTGTGGAGCTGCAACACAAATAATTATAAAAAACTAAAACATTTTGAATTCCTGGATTTATTTCTAGTCTCCCAGCAAGACTTTTGGATGAAATATACAATATTTTCTTATAAGGAGAGTACTGTACTTTCCGGTGTATAAGCCACTACTTTTTGCTGCGGCTAATTTATGGATTTTTTTTGATGGCCTAATGAGCTTCATGCTGCCAAACATTTAGCCTCATCACATCCGGGTGCTCACATAGCTGCCCAATAAACGTCTCTTTTAGGTCCTATTTACACGGACACGATGGGGGGGAAACGTACGTTTTTTCGTATGTTAATTAGAGGAAAAGATTTGCGTTGACACGGTCAGATTTTGTGTTTACATGCATCCAGAGGAATACCCCCCGCCCTCCCGAATCCGCTGTAGTTACCATGCCAGGTCATTAGTTGGCGTTGTGAATTTTGTACCTTTACTTAATGCGCATGCGTGCTGCCTCGGCACGCTCCTTTCCTCTGGGCTGGATTGTGGATAAGAGTCGACAGATTTGACGCCAAGCAGGACCGCTTCATCTAACAGCTCCACACCGATCGCCGAGTGGACCAGAACCGAGTCGACAATGTCGGACTTTACTCCGTGATAATCAGTAGCTGATTTACAGCAGGTAAGTCAAATGTTCTTAATAATGTTTTCTTGTGTTTCCTTCGGTTACAAAACAACCAATGGAGGTTTTTATTTTTTCCTGAAAGAAGAAGAAGCTGTCTCCCACAAGGCGGACCGATTCTGAACGAGGCTCGGCCCAGGTGCAGTGCAGGAGGATGTCGAAGAGAGATGTTGGATGAACTATTTATTTAAACTTCCCCTCATTTCTTTTATTCAGTCCATTCAACGCTTTAAGCTGCATTAATCAAAGGAGTGACAGCCTGAACGAGCCAGATGAACAACGTGGGACCAGATTCCAAGATAAAAACAAGAGTCCAGTTCATTAATGCAGTTTACAGTTAACTTGTTTTTAATGTATTCAGTTTAATTATCAGTGTGTGTGTGACATACAGTTTGTGGTGTTGAATAAATAAATTCAATAAAAATTTAACCTGATGTCTTCATTTTCAACTTTAATAAAACGTAATATGTTTAGCATAATTTTAATCACATAATTTGAATTACATAATGTCCCGATAGCTTCATTTAGCTCAGAGAGCTTCATTATACATCTCAAACTTAAGACAAATACTGTTTATTATTATTAAACTTGTTATTTAGCACATTTAGTATGCTATAGTGCAGCGTGACATGTGCGCGTGCCTCGTCCTATAAACAGAGACATTAGACCTGGATCAGAATGTGTCTTTTAAAACACAGATGTCGGTCACAGCACCTGGAATCTGACGTAGATTAACTACGAGATTAAAAATATATTCCATCATTCGTAGTTCAGAAAGCACCGTATCCGCCTCCATGTTGATAGAAATATGCCGTCGGTCCGCGCGTGCGTGTGCGCATGTGGTTTAACACAAAGCCTCAGCGGGAGATGTTTAGATTATCAATGGGGGGTCAGCGAAAAATCTCCACTCTGGAAGGTGGGTTCAGAAACCTCCGGATTCAAAGGGGGGGGGTCACTGGTGTCGTGTAAATGATCAGCAGAACCGCAGAGAGAACGGAACGAATTCACTCAAAATATGCGCCGTGTAAACGGCCCCTTAGAGGCAGAGTCCTCCTGACTCCATGAGACTACTGGACTACCTGTACAGTGTTTCCCATAGATAACTTGCCATGATGAGGTGCTCATCTTGTCTGTGTTTTTTTGTCACCGGGGGGTGGGGTGGACTGTACCAACAGTTTGAGTCTAACTTTTTAGCTAGCGCAATACAGGCACGACACTAGCTTAGCGCTGGGGTGGCCCGCTTGTATAACGATAAAGAAAACACTGCTGTGTAAAATTTTTTTTTTTAAATCTGACCAATGAAATTACCAAACAGGTCACAGTCGAACCAATAAAACAGGGAGAACGGGTGGGTGGGGGGATCCCCTCTCCCCTATGCACATGCAGAGCATGCGAGTTTAGTTTGTTCAGTTTGAAGAAAGCGATCAATAACTTCCTGGTAAGCTACTGAAATTATTATTTTTTTAAACCAGCCATGTTAAAGGCATTGTTCAGAAAAAACATTTAATGAACTGTACATATTTGTGTATGTTACCGGTACGTATTTGGTATGGTATGGTATAAAGTTTATTCATTTTAAAAAAACAAAACAAAACAATTCCATAAACTATATAAAAAATATAAGAGATTTAAAATGAAAGGCAGCAGAAAGAAGAAAAAATCTTATTATATCTGCCCATTTTTTCAGACAATTAGTTCAATCATAATAATCTTCAAGTAACAGAACAAAACGAATAACTCTTCCTAATTTTTCTAACTCCAATACAAAAACACACTAAGCTACTTCATTTTTTTTTTTAAATTCAGCTTTGATCTTTTTCTTAAATGTACACAATGACTTGGCATTTTTAACATCACTCTCTAGACCATTCCACAATCCAGTTCCTTGGATTGAGGTAGACCTTCCCTTCAGACTAGTTCTGAATTTTGGTTTGACAAATATCTCTATCCCCTTAAGATTATAACAACTTTGCCTTTTAACAAAATTTATTTGGATATTTAATGGTGATGTGTTATTTTGAGCCCTATACATAACTGAAATAACTGTATTTAATTAAAAGTTTAAAATATCTTTCTGTGTAAATACAGTATATCATGTTACAACATGAACACCTGTGGCTTATATATGTACCAAAAAAAAAAGTTTTAAATATAGTGTGCATTGCATTGGGGCCGAGATGGTGTACAGGTAGGGCAGCCGGCTCGGGACCCGAAAGTCCCAGGTTCGATCCCCGGTCACTGCATACCTCGTGGTGTCTCTGGGCAGCACACCTCATCCCCAAAATGCCCCCCGGGTGCTGTCAATAGCTGCCCACTGCACCACCTGGTGGTGGATTGGTTAAATGCAGAGACTAATTTCACCATTGTATGGAAACATACAGTGCTGACAATGTGATGACATTATTATTATTATTATACTCAGGTGCGCTCTATAGATCGGCAATTATGGTAATAAAACGACCTCTGAATGTTGTTCTTTTGGTGGATTAGAAAACCCTAAAGGGTACAGCATGAAAGTAATACACACAATGCATAACAGGCTCCTAGGAGTAAACTAAAGACTGCAACTAAAAGTAATATTTAAAAAATAGTTAAAAAAAACAAAACAATTGTCCTATATTTGAGGCTACCTGGTATTTTGCGCTCTGGAAGTGTTATTCTTCCATCAGCTATGGAGTTTACCAAGTCCTGGAACTCTGCTGGGACTTCTGCCTGCTTCCAGCGCTCATTATCCAGGAGAAGACTGCAAGAAAAGCATCATCATGAGTTTTCCAGAAAGCAGGTTCAGGGAAAAACTTTGAGTTAGTTGACCCAAAGTAAAGCAAAACTATTGCATTTTCTGTTCTATGAAGAAGTGAAATTCTGAGTCCGTCACCATGGTAACAGCCTGAGAAGTAAACCTGTTCACTGAAATGATCACTACAAGGACCTTCCAGTATCCTCCCGCCTGAAGCAGCTCAACATGAGTTTTTGTAACCAATACACCCGATAACAAAACAGAATTACTTCCCAGTGTCTGATATTGGGAGGACAGTTCCCACTAAGACTGGATGTGCTCTCATTCCCAAATCTTGTTCTTTTATTGTTTTTGTTGAATCTGCATCTTCATCAGATTCACTCGTTTCTTTCAGTAACTCTGTGTACTTAGGTTTTAGTAAAGCCTAACTCTGCTTTTCTGTGGTTGCCAAAGTGAATTGAGGAACCAGAGGCTCATGGAGGATGGATTTTCTTTGTGCACAACACTTTTTCCTCGTTTCTCCACACTCTTAATATATAACCCACATCTAAGAATATCAGCTGTTGCTGTCTGAACCGCAAACATTACAAGTGAGATTCCAAAATGACTGGAAAGTTTAAAACTGTTGCCTTCATGAGCAACTTCAGATTTCACATCCAAGTATATTAAACATAATCCAACAGTGGTATGTGTTACAGAATCTCATCGAGAAACAAAGACCAAAGATTGCTGTTTTAAAGGCTCAGGTTTGTCTCCTTTGACCCACGAGCTGCTGTCACAGAAACAAATTCAAAACACTGGAGGGACCGGTGAGAGTTTCACTGCACTGCACATGTGAGCATACCCGAGTTTGTTTTTGCGCTCTTCGTGGAAGCGATGAACAAAACGTTTGGCCTGGTTCTGCAGCTCCCCCCTCAGGGAGAGTCTGGTTCGACCACACAGCTCCTCGGAGTCCCTAACAAAAGCCTCCACTGCCTGAGAGAGACTCACAAACTCTGCTGAGCTCAGACGCTCCAGAGAACCGTCCTGTTGGAGGCAGAAACAACAACAGAGTTCAGATAAACCCAACAAATCAAAAAGTGTTATTTCTGTAAAATGCAAAGGTTTTAAATTACAATATGTGAGCTTTTTAAAAAGGGCAACTAGAGTTGAGTGCTAATCAATCTACCTTAGCTCTGGCTGTGAGGACTTTGACACAGCGGTCGTGGCTAACGTCTGAGGCCTTGTACAGCAGGCCTTGGATGTTGCTGATCACACAGTTCAGCTCCAGTTCAGTAGGCATCATATTCTCACCGGACCTGAACAGAAACACACCAAATGTGAATGCAGCCGACAGGAAGTACATAGCATCTCCAAGCTATGATTCATCTTTGCCACTGTCTCTTATTGGAAGAACTGCAGATAAAGAGTGTGGAGAAAAAGAAGACCAACTTATTCAAATCAAGCATCAGCTTTTAACATTAACTTTGTTTCATTTTCCATTTTCACTGCTTAGTTCTGCCTCCACCTGGTATCTACCTGTTGGTCTGTTTAGGTTTTACAGTAGTCCCTCAATACTTTGCAGTTCAACTTTTGCAGGTTTTCAACATAAAACTGTGTATGACACACAATTGGCTGGTTGATGGAAGGCGACCAACCAGAGCATTGTGCTGAGGCTCATACTGGCCATCGGGAGCACTGGGACGTTTCCCGGTGGCCTGGCCCGCTCAGTGATCATTGAAGAGCCCCTCCTTTCACTTTCTGAGGCTGTCTGTCACATCAGAGCAGAAACACATGATAGGCGGGTTGTGTGTCTCTGCTCTGCTGTGACAGACAGCCCCAAAAAGAGAAAAGAGGGGGTGGGGTCTGTCTTTCCCCATCTTTGCTGTGGGAGCTTCAGTGAGGCGGATATCTGAGTGAGCAGCATAGACTGCTTATTTAAAATAATCAAGCATGACCCGAACCAAGGCTTTAGGCCCCCTCGGTAATCACTGAGCAGGTCAGGCCACCGGGAAATGTCCCGGTGCTCCCGATGGCCAGTCCGGCCCCAGGGATTGGCTCAGTAACTGTAGCATCGGTCTTCCTGCTCTCTTTCGCTGTGCTCTTATAGAGCGTTTAGAGTTTAGAACATTGTTAAGAACATTGCAAGAGTGTGGGAAGGATTTATAAAACCTTAAAATATATATAAATACTAAAATAAATATAATGTCCCTACTTTGCAGATTTTCACATAACACGGGGGTGTCTGGAACCTAACCCTGTGATAAGTGAGGGACTACTGTACTCTCTCAAACCATAGTGACCACATAAGTTGACACTGCATCTTCTAATGTCTACATTTATATAAAGAAAGTTCTTTAGCTGGAGGAATTCAAATTAAAGTGTAAAGCATAACTCTAAGATAAAGTTAATTGCTGAGTGACCTACATGAAGCTCTGCTCTCTGCTTGCAGAAACCTCTGTGACCCCAGAGGGGGGGTTACCATCACCGGTCTCCACTAGACCCGTCTGGGTCCTGAAGTTCACTGTGGAGGTCTGATTTTGGCCCACCAACCCAGCCTCTTGCTTCTGCTGGGCTTCATTCAACGCGTCACTGATGAACAGACCCTCGTGGGTGAGGTAAGCTAGCTCAGCCTCCCCCTGTAGGACCAACGTGCCCTGGGAGTCCTCTTGACCCAATTTCCCGGAACTGGCCTGTACAGGGAGCCGGTTTTTCTGGTTTGAGGCCAAAACTTCCAGAACCACATTTCTGATCACGTTTAACGAAGCCTAACAGACAAACACATGGAAGAAAACAGGATACAAACCAACATATTTTATACAAAGTTGTACATTTAATCACAACAGCTGCAAAAATTGTACACTTTTAATACATTCAGAATAGTCTTTTTGCTTTTTCTGCATCTATTGCCTAATTTCCAAGAAAATGTATACTTTTCAATAAATAAAAGCAGCCCCTCTAGTCCATAGAAATGTTTAATTGTAAATCACAGTTTACTCACCTTTATTCTCCGCAGGAAAAAAAGGAAACACTCAAAGACGTTCTGAAGCAGCTCAAACCACTGAGGGAACGTCATCAGACGCATCTGATCAGCCAGCCTAAAACATTCACATCAAGTTCAACTTAGGACAACGTGCTCGGAAAGTTATATATATGCACAGTATTTGATCCATTTGTCTTGTACTTTTGATGCTGTCATAATACTAAGACCAAGAGCTTTTGTAGTAAAAAAAAAAGCACATTTATGTTTCATAAAACCTTGTAAGCTTAATTTGAAACTTTGTTTAAACTTTTCTAAAAACGAGGACACATCTGGACTTCTGCTGTGTGCTACACCGCTCACCTAAAAGCTTTCTTTTAGGATTCTTTTAACAAAATAATAAAAAGATTATAGCAAAGCAAATGAAAAGACAAAGAAGGCCAGTCTAGATTAGTAATGTGTGTGTGCAGAATTAAAATGAATGATGGTCAACGTAATCCTACAGCATTGACGGTACATTTTTGTACTATCCGAGTATCTCTCAGTGTATATTCTCTGTCCAAGCACATGAGGTCCAACTAGCAGGCTGAGCTTATGATGCTTGTTGTGTTTGTCAGACACAGAGCATTTAGAGTTACAGTGTGCAGTGGTGGCTTTACCAGCAAATGGCTCCTAGCTGCTGATGCAGAATTTTAAAAATGATGGATGTGTTTTCTAACAGGAGGCCTTAAAGCCTAAGTGAAACAGCTGAACACCAAAACAGATCCAACACTGAGGTTGTACAGACTTCTGGTCCATTCTTCCAGCACAGCTACATTTTCTTGCAGATTAAATAGTATGGTGTAAGAATCAGCCAGCAGCCTGCTGTTGGTCCCTGTTGATGGTTTGGCTTTTTAAAGGCCTTGAAAGAGTTAAAAAATTATTTTTTTTAAGCAATATGATCAGAGGTATAAAATATATATGAACAGACATAATAGATATTTTGCTAACATCAACTAACAAACATGGCCCAATGCATGGTCTCATTTTCTCTTCTGCAGTGGGTGATAACTCCGAACTGACCAGTATGAAACTGACAGAAGGGTTTATCTTCCACAGATTAATAAAGCCACGGATGTTACAAATCTTTTTTGTAGAAAAGATTAACGTTTCTAGATGCACTGAGCTTTATATGCACAGTTAAAATACTTGTGACTAAAAGACGTAAACATGCAACTACAAGTCAACTCTTTAGAATGGTAAATGGACTGTACTTATACAGCTCCTTTCTATCTTATTTCAAGATACTCAAAGCGCTTTACAACAATCTGTGCCTCATGTACCCATTCATACAGCTCTATACTAGATCTCTACAAAGATAATTGAACAAATCATTCTAATGAGACTAATCAGAGCTTTATCACATTCAAACACTGATGGACACACATCAGAGGCTATGGAGGTTCAGTGTCTTGCCCAGGGACACTACAGCATGTGACTGCTGGTGGATTCGAACCCCCAACTCTCGCATTGGAGGACGACTGCTCTAACAACTCAGCCACAGCCGCCCAGAAAGAAATAAAATTCTGGATTCACAATAATTAAAAGATCATGGTCATTGTTTAACTTTTAACTTTTAGTATTTTTTTTATCTCTTTTTACCTTCTTTTATTGTGGCAGTGTTTTATTTGTTTTATCTTGTAAAGCACCTTGGTCAGTGCAAGGTGTTGTTGGAAGGGGCTATATAAATAAATAAAGTTTAAGTTTTATTGTTTATTCATACAACAGTTTCGTTTAGTTTTCTTCTAATAATTTTCTTAATTTGTGTACAATTTATTTTAATTTTTCTTCATATTTTCATTCATTTTTCTTTAGTTTTGTGTATGCACCATAAAATACTTTGAACTGTACACTTATGTATAGTCATGGAAATAAGATTAAAAAAAGTTAATCAAATCAAAATGATGTTATGACAAGATCAGTCGCGAACAAAAATGGGTCAGGTCTCATTGTGTAAAAATATATATTTATTTTCCTACTTACTTAAAGATGACTTCAGTGTCAATTTGTTCTATGTGCACAACACTATCTGCCACACACTGCCAAGAAACAATAAAAAAAACATTAAATTAAAACACAATGACATGAAATGTTAAAAGTGCTGTTTAAAAAGGTTTTAATTGTATAAACTGTAAGCAGTGAGCATCAGACACTGTACCTGTGTGACGATGGCCTTAGCAGCTATGATCATCTCCTCGCTATAAATATCCAGAAAGTCCAGCTTTCTCTGCCGCAGCAGTCCAAATACCAGCGACTCCAGACGCTCCTACAAAAACACAAACAAGAATCCTAAAAGTAAATAAAAAGACAACCAGACATTTTTTAGAAGATGTTTTGCTATAATTCAAACTTCAAAGTGATGAAATCTAAGCGTTAAAACTGAAGTGAGTTGCTTTCTTCATGCAAACTGAACTCACACGCATCTCACACTCCTTCCCCTCCCTCCTGCAGGGTGCTGGGGTCAGGAGGAACTCAGCACTTTTCAGTTTTAAACTGAAGAATCTCCCAGCGTTAGAAGCAAAACATTGTCCAAAAAAAAAAAAAAAAAGTCCGGTCACTCTAAAAATAAAAATAAAGTCATAGGATCACCCTGTCCTGGATGAAACTGTCCAAAAAGAAAATACCAAGTTCTGAAACATTTCACTGAGCTCAGATCAGTGGGTCTTTAACTTCACAGGCACGAGTCAAACTGAGCTGCTTCTTCTTCTTTCTGCTTTTCCCTCTTCAGGGGTCTCCACAGTGAGTCATCCTCATCCATCTCTCTCTATCCTCTGCATCCTCTGTCCTCACTCCAACTACCTCCATGTCCTCTCTAACTGCATCCATATATCTGCTCTTTGTCTTTATCCTGGCAGCTGCATTTCTAACATCCTTCTACCAATATACCCACTGTCCCTCCTCTGGACATGTCCAAACCATCTCAGTCTGGTCTCTGTAACTTTATCTCCCAGTTGTGCAACCTGTGCTGTACCTCTGATGATCTCATTCCTAATTGTATCCATCCTTGTCACTCCTAAGGAGAACCTCAACATCTTCATTTCTGCCACTTCCAGTTCTGTCTCCTGTCTTTTTGTCCATGTCGCTGTCTCCTGACAACATAGCTGGTCTCACCACTGTCTTGTAAACTTTTCCTTTTACCCTTGCTGACACCTTTTTGTCACAAATCACTCATGAAACTTTTCTCCATCCACTCCATCCTGCCTGGACTCTCTTCTTCACCTCTTTACCACACTCCCCATTTTCCTGGACAGTGGACCCAAAGTACTTGAAGTCCTGCACCTTTATGACCTCTGCTTCTTTTAGCCTCACTGTTCCACCAGCCTCCCTCTCATTCACACACATGTACTCTGTCTTACTGCGGCTGACTTTCATTCCTCTTCTTTCAAGTGCATACCCTCACCTCTCCAAGTTCTCACCACAGATCACACTGTCATCTGCAAACATCATAGTCCACGGGGATTCCTGCCTGACCTCATCTCTTAGGTTGTTTTCACACCTGATAGTCCAGTAGACTCGGTTCGGGACCAATATTCATAACATTTTGTTTACATTTGAGCTGGTGCGTTTGCATTCATACTGCACTGTGCAGTCGAGCCAACCTGTTGAATCAATCTGTTCTCCCACTCGCTTGCGGTGGCACTGCACCAAGAACTACTGAAAGAAACAACACAAAAACCTCTGAAGACACTTCTTCTTCTGGAAATAAAAACAAAAACGGAGTGGCATCAAGTTTTCGCAGTTTTAGTAGTTATATTTAGTCAATTTTCAAAAATGGACTCAATATGAGCAGAAGATGAGGCAGAAGACCATGGAGAATGTTGTTTTTCACACAAGGTACATAGCTGACGGCTCCGTATAAGGTAAGAGAAATGGGTGTTTGTTTGCCCTGCGCTCTACTCCACTTCTTGCTTGTGGAGCGGGGCCCGGTCTGTTTATATTCACACTGTACTCGAACCACGCTGGAGTTCTCTTCTACTGGACCGAGACCTAAGTTTTAGCCTGGGCCAGAGTTTGCCTTTTTGTTCCGTGTCAGAGTTCGATGGTGCGTTCACACCTCCCCAAACGAATTCCTCGGAAAACGAGCTAGAGTTCGATTAAAGTGGACTAAACAGGGCTGGTGTGATTGCACCCTTAGTCGACACATCACCAGAGCAAACAAGAAGGTGCTCAGAGACGATCCTTGATGCACTCCCACTTCCACTTTGAACCTATCTGTCACTCCTACAGCACATCACCACTGTCCAGCTGTCCTCATACATGTCCTGTACCAGTCTAACATAGTTCTCTGCCACTTCAGATTTTCTCATGCAATACCACACCTCCTCCCTCAGCACCGTCATATGTTTTTTCTAAATCCTCAGACACAATGGAGTTCTTTCTGACCCTCTCTGTACTTCTCCATCAGCATCATCAAAGCAAAAATGACATCTGTGGTGCACCGAAACTGCCTTATTAAAAGTCTCCAATGACATATTGATGACTGCAGACTCTGGTCAGAGCAGTGTTTTGATTTTATTGGATCTGTCATCAGCTTTTGACACAGTCGACCACAAAATTATGATACATCGACTGCAACATGAGATGGGATTTTCTGGAACTATTCTTAAGTGGTTTTCCTCTTATCTGAGCAACAGAACCTTTTCAATGTTTGTTAATAACATACAGTCTAAGACCACTCCGTTACTGAATGGTGTTCCTCAGGGTTCAGGGTTGGGTCCTATTCTGTTCCTTCTATACATCACCCCCCTGGGAAAGATTATCAGTAGCTTCAGAAATGTGTCTTACCATCTCTATGCTGATGATATTCAACTGCACTGTTCCTTTTATGACTCAGAATTACACAAGTTAGCTGAATTAGTAAACTGTGTTTCACATATTAAGGCGTGGTTAGCTAACAACTGCCTTCAGTTAAATTCTAACAAGTCGGAAACCCTGATCATTGCCCCTGAACAGAAAGTTCCTTGGATCAAACAACACCTCAGTTCTCTGGGCTCTTCTTCTCAGCCGAACCTCAGAAACCTCGGTGTTCTGTTCGACCAGTCCATGTCTTTGGACAAACATTCAAAGCTTCTGGTAAAAAAACTGCTTTTATCATCTGAGAAACATTTCTAAACTGAGGGCAATGTTGTCCAGATCTGACCTGGAGATGATTATTCATGCTTTTATTTCTTCTCGTTTAGATTATTGTAACTCCCTTTTTACTTGTTTTAACAAAACTGCCGTCGCTCGTCTCCAATTGGTCCAGAACTCTGCTGCGAGGCTTTTAACAGGAACTAACAGAAGGGCTCACATTACACCAGTTTTATCTTCTCTTCATTGGCTGCCTGTTGAATTTAGAATTAATTTTAAAATCTTAATTTTGACTTTTAGAGCTTTAAATGGACAGGCCCCCAAGTACATCACTGAAATGTTGATTCCTTATTCTCCAGCCCGCACCCTTCGGTCTTCAGCGCTGAACCTTCTTAAGGTTCCTAAGACCCGGTTTAAAACTCGGGGTGACCTGTCTTTTAAGGCCGTAGCCCCCCGGCTGTGGAATGCCTTGCCCCTGTCTCTCCGTGTGAACGTCTCTGTTGATTCTTTTAAAACGCAGCTTAAGACATTTTTATTTCGACAAGCTTTTAGTTAAATGTTTTACTGTTTTTACCAGCTGTTTTTACTGTTTTTATTAATGAGTTGTTATTATTTTTTATTTTATTTTAAGCCTTTATTTCTTTATTGTTGTACAGCACTTTGTGATTGTATCTATGATAAGTGCTATATAAATAAAGTTTACTTACTTACTTACTTACTCTTTCTTGGCATGAAACCATACTGCTGCTCACAAATTGTCACCTCTTGTTTAAGTCTTGCTTCCACAACTCTCTCCCAGATCTTTAATGTGCAACTCATCAACTTAATTTCTCTGTAGTTGCTACAACTCTGTACATCACCTTTGTTCTTAAAATTGGACACAAGCACACTTCTTCTCCATTCCTCAGGCATTTTCTCACCCTCAAATATGCTGTTGAATATTTGAGTCAGAAACTTCACAGCCATCTCTCCAAGACATTTCCAAACCTCAACTGGTATGTCATCAGGTCCTATTGCCTTAGCCTTCTTCCTTCTTTTCAGAGTTTTCTGACTTCACCATCACTAATCTTTCCCACTTCCTGGTCCACAGTTTCTATGACCTCTACTCTTTCATTCTCGTCATTCATTAGCTCCTCAAAGTACTCATTCCATCTTCCCGTCACACCCTCCTCACTTGTTAGAACATTACCATTCCTATATTTAACCAGCCTTACCTGCTGCATATCCTTTCCAGCCTGATCCCTCTGTCTCACCAGTCAGTACAAGTCCTTCTCGCCCTCTTTAGTGCCCAGCCTTCCTTACAACTCATCATACGCCTTCTGCTTTGCCTTTGCCTCCTCTTTGTTCTACATCTCCTTATATTCCTGTCTCCTCTCTTCGGTCCTCTCACTGTCATATTTCTTCTTGGCCAACTTCTTTACTTGAATGACGTCCTGCACTTCACTATTCCACCACCAGGTTTCCTTTTCATCCATTCTCTGTCCAGATGATACACCAAGTACTTTCCTACCTGTCTCTCTAATTACTGTTGCTGTAGTAGCCCAGTCATCTGGAAGCTCTTTCTTACCACCCAGAGCCTTTAACAGCTCCTCTCTGAATTTATCACATTCTTCCTTCTTTAGCTTCTACCATTTGGTCTTCTCTGATTTTAACTCTTTTTCTCTTCGTCACAATAACAGTCATAAACAACCATCCGATGCTGTCTGGCCATGCTCTCCCCTGCCACAACCCGGCCAGTGGCCCTCACCCCGATAGTCGCTAAATGCTTCGAAAAACTGGTCATGACTCGCATTAAAACAACCATCAACATCAACGAGGACCCTCATCAGTATGCATACCGTGAGAACCGATCAACAGAGGATGCAATCTCCTCTGTGGTCCACACTGCGCTCAACCACCTGGAGCAGAAAAACTTACGTCCGTATGCTCTTTGTGGACTTCACATCCGCCTTCAACATCATGATCCCCCAAACCCTGATGGACAAACTATCCACACTAGGACTAAGCCCCTCCATTTGCAACTGGGTACTAGACTTTTTAACAAACAGACCACAGTTAGTGAGGATCCACAACCTCTCCTCCTCCACCATAACCCTCAGCACTGGCTCTCCTCAGGGATGTGTGTTGAGCCCCCTCCTGTTTACTCTGCTCACGTATGATTGTGCAGCTACCCATCCAGGCTGTCACATTGTAAAG